TCATGTTCGTTTTTTAATTGTCAGGTCTAAGGTTCCGTTCTAATTTTGTCTCAATGAGTCCAAGTCCCTCATATAAACGACATTAAAGAACTAAAAAGTAATAGGCGACGATTCTAAGGTGCTTAGAAGTGGTAATTTTAAGGGAATTGAAAGTGGCAATTCCAAGACTGAAAAGACGCAATTAAAGGGTACTTTACAGTAACGTTTTGAAGGACTTTTGGGAGGCAATTTTAATGAGATGGTGTTTAATTTGTAGGAACTTTAAACTCCCGAACTCTCAAGGAACTCTCAAGTCGCAATTCTAAGGGCATGATGGCCGCGATCTATCATCACTGATAATTTAATATTTATTTAGTCACATAGGATAATTTAAAGACCAGAGCTCCATACAAATATTGTCCGTAGGCGGGTAGCCCACTCGGTTAGCCAAACATACATGCATCATACATACATACATACACGCATACATACATACATACATACATACTTATACTTTATTTATGCTCGAAATTTACAGTGTAGCTGTAGAGCTAACATCTTCAAGAAAATAAGCTAAAATAAAATAAAATATGCTATATTACAATTCCAATATTATTTATAAACTATATACAACATTATGCATGCAGAGGGAAACAGAGCACAGGATTCGCTCCGTATTGTCCATAGGCGCTGCCAGCGATATAATTAGGGAATTTCTTTTCCAGAGCGTTGAAGAAAGTGGCCCCACTTTTTTCTCTAGACGTTAAGTACTTGTAAGATTCTCATGTTTGTGTCGAAGCTTGCAACAGTGCGTGGAATGTAAAAGATCGCATGATACACTAGACCTGATATTACAGGAACAAGTGCCCACCATCTTCTGAATTTTAATGGCTGAGAATGGCCTTATAAAAATAGATTGTTTCTATAACAAGCTGAAAATTTCCACCGTTGAAAGCAGCAAAAAGGTCATTGTTTAAGGCTCTAGAATGAGTTGATCAGAATGATTCAAAGTTACAACATGTCTGTATCTGAGACTCAACAACAGGGCGAAAAGTCTGTCCACGCTTATTGCAGTCATTGTTAACAGAGAGACTGAAGACAGAGGAAGGCTTGCGAAATAATGTGCAGCTAACGCGTAACGACAAAGAGTCCAATTCTCATGAATCAGGGAGAGCCAATAAACAACTTGAAAAGGCTCAGCAATAAGGCCAGTGAGGAGATCAGTTGCTGCCAGACAACGATACAAGAGTTTGGAAGGCGAATGTAGGGACGATTCCTTGTGAAGGGCGACAAGGATCAGAGTATTCCCAAGAAACGCAACAACTGAAAAAAAGATATTGAGTACTGAGAAAAATATCAAATGATTATGTGTTTGCTCTTTCCCTAATGCCGCGCAGATCAGGCCTTCATGTGGTGAGGCTTGTTTTCCTGCAATTTTAGATAGGTTTACTTGTTCCATTATTCCTTCCACGTGGTTGGTACTCACTTCAACCAACAGGGAACTCGTTAGAATCCAGCAGGATCGCTTCAGTTTTTTACCATGAATTTAAAAACCAACGTTTCTTTCATCTCTGACAAAAGCTAAACAGCTGCTTATCACATTATAAATATGTCAAAAGTGACTTTAAATTATTTACCAAATTCCTGGAAAATAAAACAAGAAGAGATTTGGTTGAGTTTTAATTTTTAAGAAATTAGCATGAAAAAGAGATGCTGAACTTATAAAACTAACAGCGTAAATTTGTCTCCTAGGATAATATGACTTTAAATGGATCCTATTAGATTTTTGAGCTTTATCGAAAGGTTCCGTATTTTTTGGCATTGCTTTTATTCCTATGAAAACATGAAAAAAGATACTTTTCTTAATTTGAAAAATTATACCTAGAAATTGAATAAGATTCCCTCATTATCATTTGTGCAATCTTCGCACAACTGAGCAATCTATACACAGTTTCACGGGTTGCTACTGTTTCCTAGACAACCAGTCTGCCAGCTGAATTTACACTATTAGCGACTTTTCCAGTTGATCATTTTTTTTATTAATGCAATTTTTTTTAAACAAATTACACCTGAAAACATCAAAAAATATAATAAGTGGCTCTGCTTAAGGCCATAATCCTATGATTAACCTTATCGAGTCCAGTTTTTTGTTGTCTTTACAAGTTACTGTTTTTCGCCGCAGTTTCAACATTATTACACAAGTTCCAAAGAAACATAAATAGAAACGGTGAATGTTGGCAGGTCATGTTGATTCATGGCGTAATTGCGAAATGAACAGGACCTGCCCGAGGTCATTGTTTTTTTGCGAAACTCTGTTCGCCCACGAAAGGAGTTTCTGATTAGTGCGGTTAAGCTCCAGTTGTCAATCGCAAGCCAAATGTGTCCTTTGGACAGTTTGCTTTTACGGCAAAATGCAGAAGATGGCAAACTCATTAAAACTAGTTAGTGTCTTTTAGAATTTGATGTGTCTCACGCAAAAAGAACAAAAAGAAGCAATTTCTATACCAGTTTCTGGAAAGGATCTTCTGGCCGTGTTTCCAACTGGTTTTGGAAAAAGCCCGATAGTTCAGGTGTTAATTCGTATGAAAGAAATTATGGCAGGGAAACCTTCGAACGTAGTTGTCGTTTGTCCGCTGCTACGTATTGTTTATGGGCAAATGGAATAAGCATCTTAGATCGGATTAACGGTAGCTACGCTCATGGATTGTCGTTTGGAGGATATATAGTCCGGCAAATATCAACTCGTATTTACATCAGCGGAGAACGTTTCGGTGAAGCCATTTTTTTCGTTGATGAAGAAAAAGAAAACAACACACCGTTTTTCTCATCTCTAAGTATTTTTCCTAAGTGGTGACAGACTTTTAGGTTTCTAAAAACAGAGGATCTATCCTGATTACAGTATTATCAAAAGTATGATAAGAGATTTAAAATTTGGAATTCAGTTTGGTAAAATTTGGCCACCTTCTTTTGCAAAAAAAAAATATAAACTCATGTCTTCGTATTATGTGAGGAAAAATTTGTTCCAAGGACTACATAGGACAATTTATTTTCAGTTGATGAACTTTACATTGATACTCTGATTAATCGTCATTAGCAACCAATTCTTAACAGTGAGCCCGAAAAAAAGGGAGGATCTGCCGTCATCCATACATGTAAGTATGTTCAAGAGCCTGACTTCCTCTTGGTTTCATAGGTGAAAATCTTATAAAGTACACTTCAATCGATGAATTTTCACGTGATGTAAATCTCAACGAGTCATTCGATCTTACGTCTAAAAAAAATAGTGATGATAATTGAGTCTAGTGAAGCGTTTTGGTAAACTAAGGTCAGTGCACATTCATAAACGGTTTGCCTTCACCAAAACGTAGTTCCGCTTTCCTGTGCGATAGATAGCAAAAGACTAATGCAACCAACAATTTATGTGTACTATACAAAAGAGTATCTAAGGACTTGCTGTCTATGAAGCATGGTTGGAGCTAAACTGAGCTGAGCTTTTTTTTTTTCATGAAAACTTGTAGACTTTATCAGACATCAAACTCCTATGATATTATGATTTGCTAAATCTGTTATGGTTGAAATGTATTAATTTGAATCTTAGAGGTTTGAGTAGAGCCCCTTTGGTTGTTAACCTAAATCTTGAGGATTAACTTACATATTTAAAAGATATGTATTAATACCAATAGTAAGCTCTTAATGCGCTCTTTGCACCGAGACATACTAAATTATATCAAGCAGAAATTGTTGCTGTATTTTTTCATACAGACCAAGATAGTTTAACGACAAAACCATCCACTACAGGGACATATATAGACTGCTTCTTACAGAAGTTATACAAACCCACAACGAGATCAGTGGAAAATACATGAATCAATGTAGAACAAGAATGGATCAATTATATGAACGGCGCCAGAGTTTTGTTGAGAATTAAGAATATCAGTCGTTAGACAACATAACAAGAGGCCTTTCTGAGGCTGCAATATACTCTATCATTCAGCAGTCCACTTATATTCATCACGCACAAGCCACCGGTGCAATAACACCGTTAATTTTGTTAAAAAGTTTTCAACTTATTGGTTCAAAAAAGTACATTAGCCTGCCAGAGTTTAATCTGTGCATCACCTGGACTCATCAAGAAAAATATGAAAAATTAGCTCATATTTGCTTTCCTTTTTGACATTCGCGAATGAAGATCCTGAAATATTCGTTTTTCGGACACTTCGTCCTTGATCAGTTTGATTAAAAGTTTGCATTTGGAATAAATATTTGTCATCCAATTTTAATTTGCTCTCTAAGGTTTTTTTTTCAGGCGCAACTAATTAAATCATTTATGGTAGGTATTCGATGAAAGTCTGTCTGGTTATGAAATTACACATTTATCGAAATAATTACTCAGTGAGATGTTTGAAGAGTGGGTCGGAAAATGAGTGGATAATTTCAATTCAAAACACAATATTGATGAAACAGATGTTAACAATGTTTGACACGGATCGATGACCTCCCTGTACCATATACTGGTTATTCTCTTTGGTTCATAACAAAATTACCATTATTAGTTTCATGCAAAAGAAAACCTTTTCACATTGCGATGCGAAGAAAAAAGCGGAAGTAACCTTCGTCGGTGTAACTGACAGTTTGGATGCACAGTTTAACGGCAAGAAGAATTAACAGTACAATGAACAAAATTAAATTTTGGCGCAGAAAAACGAAGTTTGTCGCAAAAGGAAAAAAAAAACATTTTAAACCCAAACATTTTGAACCCTGTGATAAGAGTTGACTTCTATGAATTAATTGACATTCTCCTTACTCAAAGGACAAAATGTTGTGCTTCAATATCGGAACTTTCTAATTTTGCCCTATTGTGATTCCATCGTGCTTCCTAATCCTACTTTAAGGTCGTATGGGTTAAATTGCCTGATTGCTGTTTGTAATTCTATCAAAAACGATAGTTTTAATCAACTTAAGGCCTAATATTTCATAGTTTGGTTTCTCCAGAGGAAAAACCTCCGTTACCTGCCACGAGACTAAACGGAAATACACCGAAATGTTTGTCTGAGTGTCTCTTTTACTGCTCGCCTCACCTCATTAATCTTCCAACAGTAAAGTAACGGGTTCAGGGACGAATTAAGATAAAACATGCTCTCTGCACATGATAAGAGTATAAAGTCATATGGGGATAGTCTGTCGTAAGGTACAACTACTGCTACTATGCTATATGGCAGAGAGCAGCATACGAATGCTACTTGAACCCAAAGTGCACTGTACACTGCGTTTCTGTAAAGTGCCATGTTCAGTGAAACTGGTTGGCTCGGCTGTTGTGAAATAAGAATTTGTACTTGATTACGGCTGCGATGGAGACGGTGGAATATTTTTGTGTATGAGAAAGTTGCTGTTATTAAACACAGTGGGATGAGAGTATAGCCATAGGAGACGGATATACGGTAATCCACAAAGTAGGCTGTTCCAGCGGCCACAGATAAAATCCAAAAGATGGCTATAACAACATATGTTCGCTTCAAAGTTACAATCTGTCTGTATCTGAGCCCAAGCACCAAGGCGAGGAGTCTGTCCACACTTATTGCGGTCATTGTTAAAATAGACACTGAGCAAATGGTATGGCTTGCTATAAAGTAAGCGCTCAGCCCAAACTTGCAGAGCTTCCAATCTCTGCTAACAAAAGACAGCCAATAAGTAACAGAAGAAGGCTCTGAAATCAAAGCGATACAGAGATCAGTTGTTGCGAGACAACGATACAGGAGTTTGGATGGCGGATGAAGAGAAGATTCCTTCCGCAAGGCGACCAGGATGAGGGTATTTCCAAGAAATGCCATAGAGCAAAGAAAAATATTAATCGTTGCGATCAATATCAACTGCTTGTGTATGTTGTCATTCTTTCCCGCTACGCATCGCAGTTGTGCAAGTGTTTCGGTTTGTTTTCCGGCATCTTTAGATAAACTTTCTTGTGCCATTATTCCCAATCCTAAAGGAGCGTTTACTTCACGGCAGCTTTTAAGTATACTCGATGGTTGTGAAATATATTTGCATTTCAAAGTATTTTCCAATAAAACCGAAACAGCTGGCTATCATAGTATAAAGCATGGGCGCCAATTGAATTATAAACAAAACTGCTCATAAGATTTTGTTTAGATTCCCTGATTATTCCATGGCTGTCATAACGGGAGAGTAATTTGTCATGAAAAGATAACTTTGCAACCAGAAAATATCTATATCTCGGCCTTTTCTCGTGTACCTTATTACAATATACCTTACGTAAATACTAACCGATCCATCAATCAATCAGGCAAGCAATAATTCACTTATTCATTCATTCAATCAACTAGTTTAACGCACCAGTCTCTGTCTCAGAGAAACTCCGCACCACTACGGAAGGACATACATAATACAATCGAAAATTGTCCATCTTATCTTTGTCTTTCGCATTTTTCCTAGCAAAAGATGAAATAGAGGTGCATGTAATTGATATTCTCAGTGAATAAGAGGCCTCAGTGTTCTCTTCTATTTGGTACTATACATATATATATTCAACGCACGTAGTCGTATGTTCTAAACACTATTGGCAAATTCCTTCTGGAAAAAGTTTAAACTAATGTGTTTCAAAGAGTACTTTAGTTTGCCAGAGTTCAAGCCTGTACATCATCTGGGCTCACTGAGGAGAATACGAGCAATAAATTCATACTTGCTTTACTTCTCAACATTTGCGACTAAGGCTCCTCAGAAATTATTTTTTCGGACACTGTCTTTTAATCAGTTTGATTAAAAGTTAGCACTTTTGGGATAAATATTTTCATTCAATTGTAATTTGTTTTCTAAGCTTTTTTTTCACAACTAATGAAAACATCTATGGTAGATCTCTGCTGCAAGTCTATAAGGCTATAAGATTTGACATTGCTCGAACTCAGAACCTCTTGTTCGAAGAGCTGGTCGGACAATTTGATGAGAATTTTACTGAATTTAAAAAAACCCTTTAATATGTTAGATGTTAAGAACCGAATGCCAGTAACTCGGCTTGGTAACCTCTTTATGTAATACACCTGTTCTCTCCCTTTTTGTTTGAAAGAAAAATTAATTTTCGTGTTTTCGTGAGAAGAATGACAAAAATATTTCCCTCCGAACAATTCTGCACCCAAAATGTCTTTTCTTTTAATTTGGTAGTTACAGAAAACGCACTGGTTATTAATTTAAGTGTGGCAGGTACTCAACCTGTAATTTACTCGGTTTCTAGAATACAAACAAAACTAAATTGCACTAAAGCTAACATACGATTATTAGTTTTATGTAAAAGGAAAAAAAAATTACACACTGCGATGCAAAGGAAAAGGGGAAAAGGACCTACATTTATGTACTTTACAGTTTGGATGCGCAGGCGAATGGCGAGCGGAATTAAAAATACATAACCTTCATTAAAATTTTGGCGCGAAGGAACGAAATTTGGTGCAAATATAAGGGTTGGCTTCCATGATTTAATTAACATCCTCGTTATTTAAAGGACAAAATGTTGTTCTAAGTATTTCAAACTCGGTTCTTTCATATAACAGAGAACATAGAACAATCTTCTCTTCCGTTATGGTGATTCCCTGTTCTTTATAATCCTTCTTGGAGGTCATTTGGATTCAATTAGGCTCAGTACTGATCGAAATCGACGACAAATAATATTTTTAACCAGCTAATGGCCTAATATTTCATATTTGGTTTTTACAGAGACAACTTTCGTATCCTGTCTAGAGACTAAACCCAAAGACAGCGAAGCGTTTGTCTGAGTGTATCCTTTACTGCTTGCCTCACCTCATTAATCTTCCAACAGTAAAGTAACGGGTTAAGGGACGAATTAAGATAAACTAAGCTCTCTGCACATGACAAGAGTATAAAGTCATTCGAAGATAGTCTGTCGTAAGGCACTACTACTGCTACTATGCTATATGGCAGAGAGCAACAGACGAATGAAACCTGAACCCAAAGTGCACTATACACGGCCTTTCTGTAAAGTGCCATATTCAGTGGAAGTGGTTGGCCTGGCTGTTGTGGAACAAGAATTTGTACTTCATTGCGGCTTCGATGGAGACGGTGAAATATTTTTGTGTATGAGAAAGTTGCTGTTATTAGACACAGTGGTATAAGAGTATAGCCATAGGACACGGATATACGGTAATCCACAAAGTACGCTACTCCAGCGGCCATCGATAATATCCAGAAGATGGCTATAACGCCACAAGTTCGCTTCAAAGTTACAATCTGTTTGTATCTGAGCCCAAGCACCAAGGCGAGGAGTCTGTCCACACTTATTGCGGTCATTGTTAACAGAGAGACTGAGCAAAGGGTATGGCCTGCTATAAAATATGCGCCAAGCCCAAGCTTGCAGAGATTCCAATCTTCGCTAACAAAAGACAGCCAATAGGCAACAGAAGAAGGCTCCGAAATCAAACCAACACAAAGATCAGTTGTTGCAAGACAACGATACAGCAATTTGGACGGCGGATGAAGGGAAGATTCCTTCCGTAAGGCGACCAGGATGATAGCGTTCCCGAGAAATGCCATAGAGCAGAGGAAAATATTAGCCGTTGCGATTGATATCAACTGCTTGTGTATGTCGTCATTTGTCCCTGCTTTGCATCGCACTTGTGCAAGTGTTTCGGTTACATTTTGCTTCTCAGCATACTTAGATAAGCTTTCTTGTGCCATTATTCACACCGCTAAAGGAGCATTTATTTCAGGTAGCTCGTAAATGTATTCGAGGATAGCTTTAAGTTTGTGGAGTAGATTTGCATTTTAAAGTCTTTCCGATAAAGGCTAAACAGCTGCCTATCAATATGAAACATGTCTTCTTATTAAATTGTCTGTAAGACCGCCCATAGGATTTTCTTTTGATTCACTTAATGCTTTTTGGCTGTCATAACTGGGGTATACTTTGTCACCGAAAAATAACTTTTTAATAGGACATTATTCATATCTCGGCCTTTTCTCACTTTCTTTGACACGTTATTGCAATCTTTTGTAAGTAAATATTCATCGATCCACCTATCATTCACACAAGCAATAATCTAATTATTCATCCCTTCACTCAATCGACTTTTTAAATGTGCCAGTCTTTGTTATCCCGAGGAAACTCCTCTTTACTACTCAAGGCCACTTAACGATACAATGAGACGTCCATTACCTAAACCTATGGAAAGCTTAGTTTAAAAAGCCGGAGAACCTTAAAGACATTAGTTTTTTGAAATATTTTCTTTGAAAAAGTAATTTTCCGCACCAGTGTTTTTTCGCAAATGGTTTCAAAACAGCTGTATACGCGCGTTGTAACACTTTCTTTATTGACTGAGAAAAAAATCTCTCAATAGTTTATTGTTCTGAGAGAGACTGTGAGCCATTGATAAGATCAAGAAGTACATCTACGTCAAAATTCATCCATCGCGAAAGTGGATCTTTTGACGAAGCTTACCTTGTTTGGTATTTCTGAACGTGTAATAAGGCTTCTGTGATAAACCAATTAAGGGAATTAACATCTCCTGAAATTAATGGTAATTTGAAAGATTACGTTGGTTTCCACTTTTTCTTTTTCCCTCGTCATTCAACAAGAGATCGTAAGTTTGCACATATTAAAAGTTACTGATTAACGCCTCAAATTCCCATGCGCTCAATATGCATTTATATTTTTAATTTTTGAGATAGTGCGCACTCTCATCGGTCGATTAGTGTGTTTAGATTAAAATGATATAACCTCGATTGCGATGTCTCGCTCTCTGTGCTTTCTGAGAAATACTTATAAAAGTAAAGATGAATTTTCCCATGCACTCGGAAAGATAAGAAAATTCTCGAAAGTAATGCAAAGGCTCGACAGCTTCTTGGGTTTGCAAAACTTTCTCGAATTATCCCAACTCCCCGTAGATAAAGTCTTCTACTGCTTAAAAGATATTCCGATCCTATCGTGTACACATGTAACTCTGACTTTAACCGCTTGGCCGTAGAAGGTCTGGGTACGAGACTACCAGCCTCCTATAAACGACAATAGCGCTCAAAGTGGCCAGATTCCTTCGTTGAACCCTAAATTTTGTGAACATTCCAAAAAAAATTGTTAGAATTGTGAATTAATTATTTAGTAAACGTTGAAATTCGAAATTTTAGCACCTGTTTAACATTATTTTCCAAGAACCAGCGTTGAGGGAGGTGGGGGGGAGGGGTGGGCGAAGGATCTTGTCACGATAAAATTTACCTGATCTCCTTATTGGCAGTAAATTGGCAGGGAATTTTCTTAAGTCCTTCCTTTATACTCTGTCGGCGACGGCTGATCACTCCCAAAGTCCCCTGCCCCCCCCCCCCCCCCCACTATAACTCACGAAACCAAAAAAAATCTTGATGCGTCTGTTGGATAAAGAACAGATCAGAACGATATCAATTGCACTCTCAAGGGTTTCTCATCCAAGATTTGCGCCATCTGAAAATTCTGCAAATGCTGATCTAGTGAATTCATTGTTTGGAGTTTTTCTGGTCTTTTCTATCATCATCACGCTTTTAAGAAAATAACTGTTACCAACTGTCACCTGTGTTATTATTTCCATTGCAAAAAGCGTATTTATTTTAATCTGTAGAGAAGCTGGTTTCTTCAAAGATCGCCTCAGATTATTTTTAAGTAATTTACATATGAACCATTCCAATGATAATATCTTAACAGGTTGTCCTGATAATGAGGTATCTACTAAACTAACAAAGCAAACACTTGCGCATTAACGTAGCAGTGTGTTGTTTTCAAAGACTATAAAATACACCACGTGAAATTTTTTCAAATTATCATTACATAGATAGAATTACTTATACAGAGTGGAGGGTTTCGGTTTGCTAGAAATACTTTGGGCTGGAAAACGACGCATATTTTAGTACGACTATTTTAGTCTGACCCTGTGACAGAATTTAAAGTTATTGACGAAACAGAGCTGTTTCGGTTTTGTTGAGTCATGCCAAAGAAAAATAAAATACGAATATTTTAGTCTAAATGAAGGTAGTGATTCAACAAAACTGAAATATTTAAAACAAAATTAAGCGATACAGGTAACCTATTCTATAGTTTGATTCACCAGAACACGTTTTTCAGGTCGTGTTTATTCCATAGGAGAGTTTTAAATGATGCGGATTATAAAATAGTTTAGGCAACTCCACACCGACCAAATTATCTTAGTAGCATGGTTGTAAATTGAGCAGAATTAATGACATGACAAATAGGTTAAAAGTTTGGCTTACTTAAATACGGTCTCTTTTAGAAAAGAGGCATTACCTGCCAGACTAATCAATTGACTAATGAACGTTACATCTTCTTGTGTATTAAAAAGCTCTACATTTGCGCTGAAGAATTTGCTTATTATATTATTTTGGACCGGAATACGAGCATAAATAACAGATTCATGAAAACATTTAAAAATTAAATCATAAGGATTTCCAAAATTTAATAGATATTTTTCGTCTTCGAACTTCGTAATGGGCCTTGCTCACCATAGAGTCTCCGTGGCTAAGTGTTAAAATCCGAAGGTCTGAAGTTCGATTACTCATAGGGACTCAGAAGTTTTTCTTTGTACCACGCTCGTGACGAGACGAAAAACATCTTTCTCTATTTCTTTACCGAGCTCAAAACTTATCATCTTTCTTATTCTATTTACTAAGAGTTTGTCCTCTTTAAAGCTTGCCTTTTTAACGGTACCAGTTTCAGGACTTGTTCAAAGACAACATTCAATTCCATGGACAGCAAAGTGCTTGTCTGATTGTCTCCTTTACTGCTTTTCTCACTTTAGCAATCCTCCAAGAGTATAGAAACGGGTTCAACGAGGAGTTTAAGAAAACTAAGGTCTCAACACATTGAAAGACAACAAATGTAGAGTTAGATAGAGGCCTTCCTCTATCCACAGCTGCTATGACTATGATGTATGGTAAATAACAAACGACCAATGCCAACTGCACCCAAAGTGCATTGTACACTGCCTTTCTGTATCGAGTCAGCTTCAGAGGAGCTGGTTGCCTTAGCTGTTGGATACCTTGTTGTGATAGAGTACACTTTGGGATGTTGTGGAGACGGTGGAAAATCTTTGTGTACGAGAACGTTGCTGTTACCAGACAAAGTGGAATACAGATGTAGCTACACAAGACAGCTACGTGGGGATTTATAAAGTGCGATGTGCTAGCAAGGATCGAAACAATCCAAAATACGATAAGAAGCAAATATATTCGCTTGAAAGTCACAAATTGTCTGTATCTCAGCCCCAACAGCAGGGCGAGAAGTCTGTCCACACTTATTGTGGTAATTGTGAAGAGAGAGACTGATGACAAGGAATAAGCCGTTATAAAATAAGTAGTCACCGCATACAAACAAAGATTCCAATCTTTGTGAACCAAGGACAACCAATAAATAACGGCGGCAGGTTCTAAGATCAAACCAACACAGAGATCAGTTGTTGCCAGACAACGATACATAAGTATGGATGGCGGATGAAGGGAAGAGTCCTTATGAAGGGCAACTAGGATCAGGGTGTTGCCAAGAAATGCAGTAATGGACAGAAAAATGTTGATTGATGAGATCATTATTATTTGAGTGTGTATCTCATCTATCCTTCCTTCCACGCATCGCAATTGTGCATACGTTTCTGTTTGTTTTCCGGCATCATAAGATAGGTTTGCTTGCGCCATTATTCCCACTGCAACGCCCTTGTTTAATTCAACCTTGTAGGAAAGCTTGCATCTCCAAGGATTGCCTCAGGTTTATGGCATGAATATAAATATCACGGCCTCTCCTTCTATCAGCTTACTAGCCGTTCACGATCTCACCAACTAGGTCTAACTTGACAGTGAATTGTCTGCCAGTCTATATATATATATACATATGAAGAAAACCGCGGTTACGTATTAGTGTATTGGTCAATGCCAAAGGTAAAGGAAAATACGAATTTTTTAGTCTAAATTTGGCGCCGCGACAGAAACTGAAGGAATTGATTCAACAAAACTGAAATATTCTAAATATTCTAAAACGCTGAAACCATCAAATGAAAGCTGAATTTGCAGACAGCAAACGGAATGGGCTGGACATCCGCAAGTGGTTTTTGTTCTCATGCAGAAAAAATTTTAATGAATTTCTGAGTGAAAAGCGAAAAACATGAAAAGTTTTCTATCCCTTTTCAGCGAGCAGTGTGGGCAAATCTAGTCGGGAATTTCTGAATTTTTTTCAATCTTACCGCTCAGAGAAACATAAAGCTTGAAATGGCAAATTTGAGGAATGTTAGGAAAAAAAAATTCTTGTTGTTTTCGGCGTTCAAAGCGTCCTTTCGTTACCTCCAATCAAAGACCTTCAATAAATTAATTCGTCCCGTGTGGCGCCACTTCTCAAGGCAGGAAAATATTTAAGTTTTCTACGGGTTTACCGGGATAATAGTCGATATGTTTTTTGACCAATTAAAGCGTAATTTGTGACTAGATTATGGTATAAATTCAGATATAATTCATTTTCATGCAATTTTTCGCATTTCGTGCATGACGCACGTTGATGTAGAAAATACATCTTCATTAATATTCTAGTCTAGTGGTTAAAATAAGTCACCTGAACACTCGGTTAAGTCGTTTTCATTCCATAAGGAGTTTTGAACGATGCGTATCGTCAAGTTCTCAGGACACCTCACACCAACTAAACTATTTTTGTAGCGATCTCACCA